TTTTTGGAGCAAACTGGCAACGCATCAATGTGAATCCTGTTACAAGTCTTGATGGGTGACCTCACTTGCATAATTATCGTGTCTTTATATCATGTTTATTGGGTGGGTTATCGCAACAGTAACACTATTCATTACATATAAAGTCGTGACTGGACACAACACACTGGCTCTTCATGTCAATTAATGAACAGTTTTCATTAAAAACAACTTTTTGTCTGATCGTAGATCTAAACTACCAAATAATATGACATCACTGAAAATACAGTAATATGATATGCTCTTTGAAGAATAAATGTATCCAATCTAATCTAAAATCTAATAAACTACCCTTTTTTCCAATAACATCTCAGCGAACTTGTGGCGGAATTCTAAGTCACGATGAGTGTAAGTAGGGAATCTTCCAACAAGAGGTAAAGGTATCATCAAAGAGAATAGAAAAAATAGCTTTTCCTTATTTCACATCACTGTGGTAATTTCTCATTTCCTAATGATCTGTGGAAACGTAAGTTATTTTTAAACCCAAAGACACTATCTATCGCTGCCCATGTACAAGCTTTAGCAAATCGCCCGTCACACTAATTCACTGAAGGGAGCTTAAAAACGACGAAGCTACAAGACGACGCTTAATTCTTGATCGCTGTAAGGAGCCGATGATGATGTTCCTTGAGAGATGTATGGTGGGCGTTTGTTGCGCTAGGAATAGAATATGTTAATCTTCTATTGGCCCTTTGATTTGTTTTAGATTGAGCTAACAATGAAATAGGCGTCTCAGTTTGGAAATACATATAAGAAGGTGGAACCCAGTGGGACAGGTTGTGAGTAACCTTTAGCTGTCAGGATATCCTGGTCAAAGATTCGAATCTTATATTCGTCCTGACCATTATCCTTGGTTTGTCAGTACCATACCCATGCTCCTGGGTTTCACCAGAGTGGTAAACATCTACGATCTTTGTCACTTCGGGCTTTCTTCAAACTGATAAAAATGAAGCTGACATGGCATGACATGACATGACTGAAACACTGTTCGTGGTGACGGTAGCCCAAACAAACTCAGTCACTAGCATTTTGTTTCTTCACAGCTGACTCAAATCAAGTCTTATATTTAATAAGGTGATACCACTTCCTATCCTCGTTCGTGCAGTCAAGATAGTTCACATTTCTCGTACATTTCTCACGGCGTTTGCTCAACAAAGATTCAAGTCATGCCAGTGTGGATGAGTCAGGTCAAGTGCGGATGAGTCAGGGTGAGTGTGGATGAGTCAGGGTGCGTGCGGATGACTCAGGGTGAGTGTGGATGAGTCAGGGCGAGTGTGGATGAGTCAGGGCGAGTGTGGATGAGTCAGGTCAAGTGTAGATGAGTCAGGGCGAGTGTGGATGAGTCAGGGTGAGTGCGGATGAGTCAGGGTGAGTGCGGATGAGTCAGGGTGAGTGTGGAAGAGTCAGGGCGAATGTGGATGAGTCAGGATGAGTGTCGATGAGTCAGGTCAACTGCGGATGAGTCAGGTCAAGTGCGGATGAGTCAGGTCAAATGTGGGTGATTCAGGGTGAGTATGGATGAGTCAGGGTGAGTGTGGATAAGTCAGGGTGAATGTGGATGAATCAGGGCGAGTGCGGATGAGTCAAGCCCTGTGTGGATAAATCATACACAGGGCTGTTGTGGATAGATAAGGCCGAGTATGGCGGATCCCGACACAGGACCAGTGTTCATTAGTCGATGTGTCATATAACGGAAACCAGGGTCAGCATTAGGGTGAGTAAATGATTATTGTCCTACGACACTTTTACCAATAATCCAGTAATATCACGGTAGGAGTCACCAGAAATGGGCTTTACATATTGTACCCATGTGGGGAATCGAACCCGGATCTTCGACGTGATGAGCGAACGCTTTAAACACAAGGCTACCCCACCGTCCCTCAGCATGTGAGGAGAAACATTTCAGCAATGAAGACTCCAAATATGACCTTGATGGAGTTAATCCTGTCAACACAAATGCCTTTGCCAGAACGACTCGGTAATGCTGATTAAATGATTAAGTTAGATAAAGTGAAGGCAAACACACACGATTTCTGGCTGGAGTGATATTCCGGCAAATCCTTACAGAGGCATCGAAAGGGCAAGACAAAGGTGTTCAGTATCTGATGTATTCCCAATGACCGATGATCTGTCTGTATTTGCTGTGAGTTACTTGCCATACCTCGAGCTTTCAAATGGGTAAATCTCTATCAGCATGAAGCCATTACATTGACTGATTCTATGGCAGCTATTCAATTATTCAGAAAGGGAAAGTTGGATCAAGGCGAGACATTATCTATGAAATATTGCCACTTAGAATCCATACAAAATCACAGCTGATGGTCCAGGTCTCGGCGGCACTGAGACATTTGCTAATCTGGTAGTACTATAAACATTGATATCTTAGTGTTTCGTCCTTGTCCTAGAGGTTATTTTGAAATGAAAGAATACTGGTCGTTCTCCTAATTTTCACGACATTTAACAACCCCCGGAGGACAAGAAGGGATGAAGTGATTCTTACTCGACAGATTTTGGACACTGTGAACATATATTTATGCATATAAACATATTATAGATAAGTGTATTTCAATAAGTTACCTCATAGAATAGGTCCTTGGCATGTACATATATGTATGTAATATGTGTCTCATGCCCATTTAGATGTGAAGACATTGATGATGATTTAAAAGGATTTTGAATCGCTTAGGACTCTAGCGAGTCTTTCATTAATCCGCAATTTTACTTTGGTCCTTAAAGGAATGATGCACTGTCCACGGTTTTATCAATGCTTTGAGCAGAACAGTTCATATTTCCATTTTGGTATCTGCATATAATTTCATTTTCCTTCCCTTTTCAATGTGCTTGTGCTCCGGTCATAATATGACTTGCAGTATCGTGGTGGGCGCGAATATGCCTCTAGCCCAAGTCACACTAGCCACATACTTCTACCACAAGTACGCGATGTCTATGAGAAACTATACTTTCACTTCTTATAAGCGTAAAAAGCAACTGTATTTGATACGCAGATAAACAGTTGAATGTGTACACATAAATAACATATGTTATTCATAAATGGAATGTTTTTACCTTTAAATTGATCGTATATAAGAAAATAAATGTACCGTGTTGAGTTGCCATCTGCCGATTTAAAAGAACCAAAATGATTTTGAAACGGAACGCGAAATATTACCCTTAGGTGAAGAAATGCATATCCGCTAGGTAACATATGAACGAGGAGATACACGTAACACTTTTTTAATCACTATTTCAATAGCTTCATTTCCATTGATATGTTCACATTCTACGCCTTAAAACCGAAGTATGTCCATGGGCCACAAGAACACAGATTTCGGTGCTATTTCAAAAGCAAAATTAATTTTTACATCGATTTAATGGATGCATCTGTCCATTATTTCTTTTATCTGCTGAACTGATGTTTCGTTTGAAAAATAAATATGTGTGTGGTTGCTTTACCAACGGCTGTATGATGACGTAGAAGGCACTAGTTCTTATCTGTATTTGGTGTATTTGTTACATATTTCATATTTCAGGACGAGTGGTAGGTGAATTTCGTTGATGTATCGTTGAGCCGTAAGATTGCCCTGGATATGGACGAAACATGTCCTGCCATGATGAGAGATAGCCGCCCACATCATAACGCTACCCCACCAAACCTGTCCACTTCCTGTACGCAGTTTCCGGCGTAACGTTCTCCCCGACATCAGTAGACCCTTGCTCTTCCACATCCTCAACGGATGAGAAACCTTGATTTGTCGCGGAACCAGACATCTCTCCATCGGCGTTGTGACCATACCCTGTGTTGACGGCACCAATGCAGTCGTTGTTGACGATGTTGTACGGTCTGGTCGGAGATTCTGCGCAGTCCGGGTATTTGGGATGCGGTTGAGGTGGCTGTGGTCGTCCTTTCACGTAGGTGGGGCAGTCGGATGTAGCGATATTAGGCGGGGGCGGTTACTCTTGGTCGTCCCGACCTTGGCCGATCACGTGTTGACCCATGCTGTTGAAACCGATCCCATTGCCTTGTGATGGTGCTGGGCACTACATTAAAAACCAGGCTACAGCTGATCAGGATTCCCCTGCCTGCAAGCGGCCTATGGCGTTGTTTTTTTGCAGTTCTGTTAATCTTGGCATGTTGTTGAACTGTCACTGTTCGATTAATGCAGATGACAGGCAATAAAAACCCTGCACTTTATTACCGTTCATAGTGCTGTTAAACGTGCAGTGCGTGCCGCTCCATGGTCCTTTTGTTAATGCACTGGGTGCGTTTTCCGAATCGTACGTGTTTCACGAGTAAACGTTTGCATGTCATTGTTGTGCTCATTTTGATCCGGGAAATTTGTCACTGACACATTAACACATTAAACCTCTTCATTTGGCACCTCTTGGTCCGCTATTTTTTCTTTTATGGCCAAAAATATCCGTATTGTGGTTGTTGTTTTTAATAAGAGTATATATATATAATGGAAATAATTGAACATATACACATTGCCTGGACAGTTTATCCTTCTCGATATCAATGTTTATGACTTTTGGTGCACCAGTAAATATGGAAAACTCAGGACTGTGCACAATATGGATATTTTACCTTTTAATACACTCAGTGATATTGCCCAATCAGCTGGTTCCAAATTTATAGTAGATTACGTCATATCATGTTGGAGAAAAATATCCTCGAGCCGAACATAAGGGATTAGCCACGAATCTGACATTGATGTGCCACATATATTTTGTCGTGGTTTTTAAAAATCGACAACACCCTTTCCATAATCACAGGGAATCTTTGCATTGTACGATTCCGACTACGTCATGAGCGTGTTTCATGAATCACTATCAAATAGTGATGCTGCCAGGAGTTCACTGCATGCTGACGATAAATAACCTCAATATTAGATGGACCAATGTTCTTTTTCCAAATCAGCCTTTCGTTATTTCGAACTGACTGGTGTTTCATTGCTATATTGCAGAGCGTCATTTTTCACGTGGAGCCCCACCCGACCCACCCATGGTTCACCCAGTGCGTCACCTTCAACTTCTTCCCCTCGCCAGTACACGAGCTGGCCTACAACCTGTTCAGCGTGGCCACCGTCTACGTCCTTCCACTCATCGTCATCACCACGTCATATATCATGATTCTTTGTAAAATATCTAGAAATGCACGCTCCAAAGGTTGGTAATTAATCGTTTTCTTCTATGTATAAGGTGCCGACTCAGATGCTTGATTAATGCATCCTTTGCATCTTAGTTGGTACTGATCTAATCAATATTGATCGAACATAGTGTTCAGAAGACCATTGCACATTTATTACAGAACTTAGAAATCTGAAATAAGGCACTTATGTCTATGTGCCAATGTGCTTGGTTCACACACTATACTGCATGTTTGACCAGCAAAGATATATATAACTATATTTATCGAAACACATTACAGCTGAGACCCTGAGACCCGAGGAAGACACCCTTGTTCATCCTGTAGAAGGACACCTTTTTTTCATTGTAGAAGGACACCTTTGTTCCTCATTGTAGGACACCCGTGTACTTCATGGTAGACGGACACCCTTGTACTTCCTTGTAGGGCACCTTTGTACTTACTAGAAGTAAGGCAACATTGTACTTCCTGGTAATAGGACACCCTTCAACCTCCTGGTAGAAGGACATCCCTGTACCTCCTACTAGAAGGATACCATAGTGCTTTCCAGGGCAATGACACCCTTACACCTTCTAGTAGAAGGACATCCTTGTGCCTCCTAGTTGGACACCCTTGTACTTTCTAGTAGAAGGACATCCATGTACCTTCTAGCAGGACACCCTTGTAGTTCCTAGTTGAAGGACACCCGTGTAGGTCCTAGTACTTGCACTTTCTAGTAGACGGCCACCCCTGTACCTTACAGTAGAAGGACACCCTTGCACCTTCTAGTAGGGCATACGTGTACCTCATTGTAGAAGAATACCCTTGTACTTCGAAGTAGAATGACACTCTTGTTCTTCCTTGTAGAAGGACATCCCTGCACATCCAAGCAGAAGGACACCCTTGTTCTTCTTTGTAGGACACCATTGTACCTTCCAGTAGAATGACCCCCTTGTACCTCCTAGTAGAAAGACACCCCTGTACTTCCGAGTAGAAAGACATCCGTATACTTCCGAGTAGAAGGACACCCTTGTACTTCCTAGTAGGACACCCTTGTACTTTCTAGTAGGACACCCTTGTACGTTCTAGTAGGACACCCTTGTACTTCCTAGTAGGACACCCTTGTACTTTCTAGTAGGACACCCTTGTACTTTCTAGTAGGACACCCTTGTACTTCCTAGTAGGACACCCTTGTACTTTCTAGTAGGACACCCTTGTACTTTCTAGTAGGACACCCTTGTACTTCCTAGTAGGACACCCTTGTACTTTCTAGTAGGACACCCTTGTACTTCATAGTAGGACACCCTTGTACTTTCTAGTAGGACACCCTTGTACTTCCTTGTAGAACGACACCCGTGTACTTTCTAGTAGGACACCCTTGTACTTCCTAGTAGGACACCCTTGTACTCTCTAGTAGGACACCCTTGTACTTCCTAGTAGGACACCCTTGTACTTTCTAGTAGGACACCCTTGTACTTCCTAGTAGGACACCCTTGTACTTCCGAGTAGAAGGACACCCTTGTACCTTCTAGTAGGACACCATTGTACTTTCTAGTAGAACGACATCCGTGTACATCCTAGTAGGAGGACGCCCTTGTACTTCCTAGAAGAGGGACACTCTTGTACCTCCTGGTAGAAAGACACCCTTGTACTTCCGTGTAGAACGACACCCGTGTGCTTCCTAGCAAATTGACCCCGCTGTACCTTCCAGTAGGCGAATATCTTAGCAGAAGGGCATTCTAGTATCCCCTGATTAGAAGGGCGGTCCATCCCTGAAGCGGATGTAACTAATCTAAATTCCTGAGATGGTTATATTCGCCTTAATTCTTATGATACCCGCGTGTCCGTTGGTGTATATGCACTTACACACCATGGAGAAACTTCACTTCTGTTCAAAGATATTTAAGACCAACTCCCTCATCCTTAAGATGGTAATTCAATTACTCTTTTTGGTGTGTTATTCATGAAATACGACTTAACATAAGTAAAAACCTAAAATGTTATTCCAATTAGGTGAAACACAGTTTTAATTACTTCTGTGACCAATTGAAGCGCCTTTATTAATACCGCCCCTGGTGGCCTGTGTTTTCATGTTTCAGCAGCAGACATATAAAACATTGATGCACTGCTGGCTTTGCTGATGAATCAAGTTTCCATCGACCGTTTATATTAGTACACATATCTTTCTGGCCTCATGAAGGAAATTGTCTCTGAGCGATTCGATGGAATGAATCAAACCCACATTTTCCATTGAGAAATACTTCCAAGATAATCATCTCGAGCTGCAGATGACCAGAGGGTCGTTATTTCCCTCACTGTGATTGCACTCTGTGCCAACACCATCTTAACCACTCGCATTTACTTATTTCCTCTAAGAAAACAGTTGAAGTTGATTATTTGAATTCGCTATGGGTTAGACTACCTTAGAATTCAACTTCAAAGTTGCCTGTTTGCATTGGAGTATTTATGTTTCTGTGCCACAAACATATTATCCTTTTCCTAACCTATAACGAAATACACTGTACATGTAGGAAACCTCAACAACATGCGACGATCTCTGTGTGGCGATTTTTAGATTTTCGATTACCTTTGATAATGTATGTTACGTGATTTAGTGTATACATGGTGACGTCATATTAGGCTCTCCATAGTGACGCGATGTAGAGATTCTCATAAACTTGGCACTAATCTCAGTGACGTCATATGCGACTCTCCATAAACTGGGCAATAATCTCTGTGAAGTGATATAGAGACGCCCCATAAACTTGGCAACTTGGCAAACTTGACTTTTTTGCAGCCCAGAACATCCAAATTCGAAATAACATTCAATAACACTCCCCACTGATCTCTAGCGTAAAATTTTGTGAGTAGAGAAGGGTTGTCTTTTCTTATTCCGATGGTGACCTTGTCCTTCGTTTAAAACTGTCACTGACATGCAAGCAGACTTGAGTTTGTTGATTTTTACTTCTTCAGTATAGGGTCGTACAGTTAACATGAACTTTGGCGAGCACTCTGATTTCCCTCTTCCAAAATGATACGGACAGGCTATAAATTCAGCTGATAGATAAAGGAAACCAAACTATTTCGATTGCAGGCGGTGCGAGTGCACGACTGTTGGTCCGATATATTCGAAGAGCGGCGCTGATTGATTTTCTGAGATTCTCTAACACTGGTCATGCGTACTTACAACAGTGCGCGGTAAGATGAAGATCTTGAGGGTAAAATCCACAAAGCACGGTGAAAGACATAAAGATGTCTCTTTCGCATCGCTCTTGTTCTTTTTTCATGTTTTATTTGTTTCCACATGAATACACGGTCTTTTATAGGGTGATGTGTATTGTTGAGTACCAGAGCATCCATAAACTCAGAAAATGAAATTCAATATTCAAAAAGTTATTATCATTATTGTTACAATCAGTTTGAATTTTTTAAATGCAGCAAAGAGGGTTTGGATAATCCTGGCAAGGCTGATGGCTCTTGCACCCTCTACACGCTACAATGACAGCGAATGAGACTTCTCCCAGGAAGCGCTGCATTGTCGAACCCACCCGGAACTTTTCGGAATGAGAAAACTCCCCAACACTGGAGCCTTCTGCATTATTACACAGATTGCCAGAAGGACTGTAGTCCCGGGTGCTCTCCCAATGTCAGTCAACAGATTGGGAGGTACTAAACCTAAGGCACCAAGAATAATTGGGAGTCGGACAACTTGGGATGCAAGCGTTACATTTCGAAAGCCAGGTCCGCATATTTGCCTTGCTTCTTCTGACTCTTATCAATCACAATAGTGTGAAAAGGGACAGAAAATTCAATAATATAAATTATTTTATTAGAGTTATCAAAAAGGACAAGATCTGGTTTGCTGGCTCGAATAGGTCTGAGGCCTATTCCAAAGAATTTTGAACTTATCTTTTTTCCATGACGCCCGCTACATATTCCGGGTCGTACCATGGATGGACGTCTGTTTCAAAACCACAAGCATGGTGAAGACGGTAATAAAAAGATTGAGCTACTCCATTATGTCGCTTAAGATACTGTGTTTGTACCAAAGCTAGGCATCCATTGACAATGTGTAGGACAATCTCATTAAATTCATTGCATAATCTACATTTCATATTTACATTTTGATGCAAAATCACACATTGAAGTTTTCGAGCGGGAAGTGACTGGTCCTGAGCGGCAAACGAAAGCCTTCTGTTTCACTTTTTAGGCCAGTCGACTTCATTCAAGCGAAGGACTCTGCAGGGTTGCTCACATCTCAACACACTGCACATAAACTCGATGCAGTGATCGTTTAGATAGCCTCTCCCTGAAAAATCTGGGCCAATTTGATATAGCACTTCGCTTGGTTGACAATAATCTCTGTACCGTCCAGCAGTGCAGAACGATCAACAAAATCAACATTGACATTGAGATTACGTCCCACATCTTTGGCTCGTTTAAGAAAACTGCGGAATGCCTTGTTTTCATCATGAGTCTTGACATGTATCACAAGAGGATCATTAGACAAATAAATCTGTGCTAAAGTGCTCAGTACAATTCTATCATTAAAACTGGTACTGGTAAGCGATTGAGGGAAGAGCGAGCAAGGTGGGATCTTTTGTCTGACTCATCGTGTTAGTGTGTCAATATCCTGATTTTCTTGTTTCGTCCAATCAACAACACTAAAAGAATATGAAAGGATGGGTACAGCATAAGCATTTATAGCTTTATTTTTGAGCTTCCAGCTCTGAACTACAGATTTTCATAAGTCTACATTTGTAATCTGCCCGAAGTTTTTTTTCCCCGATACGGGCATTCTGGAGGAGAATCTGTTTTTTAGTGTAGATTCTCGTTTGGCAGGAATTTCAAGCTCATCCATGTAAAGGAGGTGAGAAAGGGGTGTTTGGGACCTGTGCTGAGGGGGCCCAGGGTGATAACCCTCCTCTTTGCTGAGTAAAACGTTTAAATGATTTAGTGACAAACAGAAAAGCAAAGGACTAACAGAATCGCCCTGATAAATTCCTCTTCTAATGGAAATGGGTTACCAAATCCCTGTCTC